AGGGCCCTGCCCTCAGGCGTTGAAACCAATCTTTAAACAGGCCAATTCTCACTGGCAGCAGTAGCCTGATACTATTTTTGGAGGATCATAGACAGGCAACAAAATCAAAGGCCTGCATAACCTCCCAGCACCCAGTGTGAAAGAGGAAAGCAGTCAGGGAGAACAAGAGACAGCGTAAGGCGACAGAAAATGAGCGTTGCCTGAGCCAAGTCAGCGAAGGAGAAACCAATCTTTAAACAGGCCAATTCTCACTGGCAGCAGTAGCCTGATACTATTTTTGGAGGATCATAGACAGGCAACAAAATCAAAGGCCTGCATAACCTCCCAGCACCCAGTGTGAAAGAGGAAAGCAGTCAGGGAGAACAAGAGACAGCGTAAGGCGACAGAAAATGAGCGTTGCCTGAGCCAAGTCAGCGAAGGAAAGCAGCCACCGCAGTGTAGTTCCGAGGCTGGACCCTCCTCCACTGTCCTGCGAGTCAGAGGCTTCTTAAAATGCCAGAAACACAAAGCCTGGGAGAGAATCTGCAAGTCTCCTATCCCAGGGGAAAGGGGGAGGCACTCAGAACGACACGACACTGACACTTATTATTCTTTAGAGGCTTCTGGGAAGATCTCCATCCCGCTGTTCTTCTCAGGAAAAAACATCCATTCTTCTCTGTAAGGAACAGAGTATCCCAAGCCTTTTATTCAGCACCAGACCAAACGTGGGTGGAATGCATAACCAGCGCAGATGGGCTACACCCGGGAGGTCCCTGCCAAGGTAGGAGGCAGACAGCTACAGCTCAGGCCAGGACCTCACCAGAAGAAAGGAGCCACTAAGCACGGCAGGAAAGACCACGGGATGGGACGGATCGCAGCGTGAGAAGGTTACAGACAGTTCCATGGGGGATGGATGGATTTCACTGGCGGTTCAGGGGCACAGACGCGAGAGATGACCCAAATGCAGAAATAATCAGAAATAATGAAGGTCTCCTGGGGTCCTGCAGAGCCAGCAGTGCCCAGGTAACCACACCAGTGACGCGGCGGGGGGCCAGGATTACCTCATCAGTACCAGAAATCCCAAATTTGAGTACAGATATAGCAAAACTGGGACCAGTGGGGAAAAACTAATTGGGAGCACATTGTTTATCAGGGCAGAGAAAGGGAGGGATCAAGACGGCTGAGGATGAACAAGCATGGGAGAACAAAGGCTCTGTGTGTGTGTGGAGCAAGAGACTCATGCAGAAGGCTGCTGGTGAGTACGCTTGCCTGCTCAAGCCCTGGACCTGCCCACCACAGTCCGTCCTACCTCCATATTCAGCTCTATTCCTATTTTTCCTGAGTGTGTCACTAGCAAACCCCAAGCAGGACTGGATGGCATGTAGGACACGAGGTCCACGTGCCAGCAGCTGGTCAGACTGGGCCCTGTGGCCAGCTAACTGCCAGATGAAACATCTGCAGCCAGCTACTACAAGGTGTGTGTGTGCACATGTGTACTTCTTGCTGCACGTGAACTTCAGTTCTGATCAGCCAGCCAGGAGGAACAGCATCAACCACCCACGTCGGCCGTGCCTGTGAGCGCTTTGTGCTTACGTGGGTGCCACCGGTTAAGGCACTGCGCTGTCTGTGCAGCCAGCCACGCGTGTGCTCTGTGTTTGTGAACACGCGTGCCCGTGTGCCCACACCTCTGCAATTTATGAGGAGCTACTGGAGAGAGTCCAGCGCAGGGCTGCGAGGATGAGGAGGGGACTGGAGCATCTCCCCTACGAGGAGAGGCTGAGGGAGCTGGGCTTGTTCAGCCTGGAGAAGAGAAGGCTGAGAGGGGACCTTCGAAATGCCTCTAAATATCTGCAGGGTGGGGGTCAGGAGGATGGGGCCAGACTCTTTCCAGTGGTGCCCAGCGACAGGACAAGGGGCAACGGGCACAAACTGAAGCAGAGGAAGCTCCAGCTGAACCCGAGGAAGAACTTCTTCCCTCTGAGGGTGACGGAGCCCGGGCCCAGGCTGCCCAGGGAGGCTGTGGAGTCTCCTTGGGGGAAAGCAACAAGCAGAACAAGAGGTGAGAGGCCTTAAAAAGCAAAAGACTCGACCACCCTTAACAGTCTCTATTGGTGGTAAACTCAGCCAGTGTGCCAGGGAACTACAGCACTGAAGGGAAAGCAGAATGACATGGAGGGTCATTGCACAGCATCTCAGAACCACTGAATAGCTGAGGTTGGAGGAGACCTGTGGAGATCTGTCTTGCCCCACCCCACCGCTCAGAGCAGGATCAACCACAGCAGCCTGCTTAGGACTGTGTCTGGTTGGGTTTTGAGCATCGCCCGGAGGGAGACTCCACGATCTCTATGGGTAACCTGTGCCAGCATTCAATCATCTTTATGGCAAAAAAAAGTTGTTTTGCATATTTAAGTGGAATTTCCCCCTTCAGTTTGTGCCCACTACCTCTTTTTCTGTCACTGGATACCAGTGGGAAGAGTGTAGCTATGCCTTCCTTACTGCTTCCCACCAGCTATTTATACACACTGACAAGATCCCCCCCAATCCTTCTCTTCTCCAGGCTGAACAGTCCCAGCACCCAAAATTAAGTGGTTGAGTCCCCATCCCTGGAGGTGTTTAAAAAAATGTGCAGATGTGGCACTTCAGGACATGGTTTAGTAGGAATGGTGGTGTTGGGTGGATGGTTGGACTAGATCTTAGAGGTCTTTTCTAACCTATGATTCTATGATCACCAATGAGTGAGTAAGGAACAGTGCAAAGTACCTGGACTGGAAAACTAGATGGACTAGTTGGACTAGATGACCCACAGAGGTCCCTTCCAACCTCTACCAAATCAGGACCAACAGCCAAACAAGAGTAATATAGAATAATCACCCTGAACAAAGATGATCGTGACAGAATTTGATGGAGTAAGCAGAACACAGGTAAAAATGAAAGCTAACTCTGAAGAAATTTGTTGGCACCCAATTGCCTGGAAGCTCTGCTGAGACTGCCAGCGCCCTACCCACGCCGCTAGGTTACCTGTCCCACGCCACAATCAGAAAGAACAAACAGTGCTCAGACACAGAGGAATCAAAGTCCTGCTACGTGAAACCCAGACCAGTGAACTCTGTCTGGTTATTCCCCATTCTAAAAGATAACACAGACAGAAATGAGGAAAGCCACCAACTGTTGTCACAGACGAAGAACCTTGACAAAAGTTCTGTTGTTCAACACAGTCCTCTTCCACGGCCCCACTGCCCGAAGGAGGGGCAGAGCCCCAGACATCATCTTGAGCAGCCTGTGAAGCCTATTCCCCTTTTTGCCTGGTTAAACACAAATTCCCCCCCAGTTACACAATTTACTGATTACCACCAGGAATGTAATCTTCTCACCTGGGATTCAGTGAGGTATCCAGCGTCACGCCCCTGATCAAGACCCGTCTTCACCACCTAGTCAAAGCAGAACAATAAAGACACACTGCTGTTAAGTCATGCCTGACAACATCTACGCTTTAATGAGGCTCCTCCTCGTTTAGCTGCACCTCCTGTGCTCACAAGTGACCCCTCCCCAATATTCAAGGCACCCTTCAGACTCGCCGGGTCCTGTCCGTGCTGTTCAAAGCAGAGCTACGAATCCCCTTGTCCTTCTAGCACAGAACAGCTATGATGGCAAGGAGGTTTTTTTCCACACATACCTTGTGGTTTCAGGAATTGTTTTCAGTAGGTCTGTGCTCCTGTAATGTCACTGCTCTCAGAGTCAGAGAGGGGGCATTCACAGGTTTTAGAGAAGTCTTGGCAACAACTCAAATAGTGAAGAGTCATTTTAAAATAAGGATTCAAGCACGGACAGTGTCTGTAAGTAATACAATGCCTGTGTAACTCAGGGGACTAACTTTTAAAGTATTATGTGGTCAGTGCTATGAAAACAGCAATTCATTTTCCTGGCTTCAAACAGGTTAACCCAACTCTTTAGGAACTGTATGGAAATCCTGGAAAAACTGCAGCTGAAAGTTTCATGGACAAAGTATTCGAGCTAAGCCCTTCCTCGACTGGGATTCTTGATCTTTCCCTTACTGGTGCCACTGCCACGTAAATTGGTGATGATATCCTGAGAAGCTATTCTGAATTTTACCACGCTTGCTGGATACACCACACAGCTAGCCCTCATTCAAGACTGATCTTCTGTGAAGATGAGGACACACGGCTCGACTCAGAGGAAGGAACCACAGTCCCTCTGTTGCCATCGCATCCCACAGATCCACCTCACCGTCGTTTCTCGGGCCTCGCAGTGGGAGTTACCTCGATGATCTTCAGTGGAGCAGGGTAGAGTCCTTTGGTTTGCTTCTGAACTTTGTTCTCCACTGTCTTGTAGACTTGCCGCCTCACAAGCGGGAGAGCCATAGCATAGTCTGTTATCTCTGCGAGATGGGACAAAACACGGCTCAGCACAGTGCTACATCCACAATCAGCCCTTAAATGATTAACCTGAAAGCTAAACAGTATAGACGTGAATGTTGCGTATCTGAAGTAGAAGCATGCACCTGAAACTCAGCCACAGGTAGCATGGTCTGCTCCTTCCCCTCTACTCTGCCCTAGTGAGGCCCCATCTGTAGTACTCTCTTCAGTTCTGGGCTCCTCAGTTCAAGAAAGATGAGGAGCTACTGGAGAGAGTCCAGCGCAGGGCTGCGAGGATGAGGAGGGGACTGGAGCATCTCTGCTACGAGGAGAGGCTGGGGGAGCTGGGCTTGTTCAGCCTGGAGAAGAGAAGGCTGAGAGGTGACCTTCGAAATGCCTCTAAATATCTGCAGGGTGGTGGTCAGGAGGACTGGGCCAGACTCTTTCCAGTGGTGCCCAGCGACAGGACAAGGGGCAA